ATTACGAGTCAGACTCGCAACGCCTAAGTCACGGACGCCGCACTGCTTTTCTAAGTGTGTTGTTATTCTGCTTTTATGTCTATGGTTCTATTGTGCCTAGTGCAATTGTTCTCGGGTTTTCTCAACGTGGGTCCTATTCATTGTTAGCTTAAATGACAACGTGAATCATTAACTGACAGGGTGCATTTTTCAGCCCATAACACTTCCATAATGAGAATGTCTTCAATACCAAGCCAGTAACAGAAGGTCCTCTGTCAAGTGAAACTGCTAACATAAATCACTGCCTGTAAACTAAGAAACACGTCCTATTTAGTTCAAATACTAGACAGGAGAATATCACGATGTAGCCAACAGCTCAGACAAACACAGACTGACTGATCCAGCCAAAACCTGTTTCCTTGCCAGTTCTTAGATGACCAGTGTTCAAGGTTATCACCTATGCCAGGTTGTCGTACTAGTGAACTATTGTCGTTACCTATACTCCCAGCTTTCCTCCAGTGTGTTACATCAAAGTTCATGCCTAGTGGTTGGTGTATTAGCTGGAGTGAGGTGTTTTTTTTTTTTTTTTTGGCATCGAATTACTACATGAATTGTGAGTTTAAATCAAGGAACTTATTTAAGACACTGGTTATTTTCAGCCCGGGAGTTGACGTGGTGTAGCGGCTAGACAATCGCCTCGGGATCAGAAGGTTGTGGGTTCGGGTTCTGACGATACCGGACATTTATCCAAAACTGGCTCTGGCTCTCAGGTCGACCCAAAAGGTAGCAGATGGAGTCTGTGAAGCACAGGTGGCCCGCGTATTGCTGACCATATTACACACCGATTGCAGATTGGTCTATAAAATCTAAGACTAGCCCAGTATACCCAGTACGCATAAAGTCGTGGAAAAGGCTCCTTTTACTCTTTTTCGTGTAATCAACGTCGAATGCATGAAGAGGTCAACATCACACCAACTCTCTCTCTCTCTCTCTCTCTCTCTCTCTCTCTCTCTCTCTCTCTCTCTCTCTCTCTCTCTCTCTCTCTCTCTCTTTTAGTAACCTTCTGTATTGTCTTAAAATGTGATGTTAATGGTTAGCTGCTTATCCTTCACAAGAAATTGCAGAACCAACCCCACTATTTTATCGGTTTGTTTTACAAGGCAATTTTACGTTCAGTAGTTTGCCATTGTTACTAAACGGTGGGTTTTAGATATCATCGTCACAGTCAACAAAAACAGTCTGCTGTCTAATTTCTTGCACCTGAAATCGAAACAGGTATCTTGCATTTACGAAGTGTTTTCGCAATGCCTCAGCCACAAACTCGATGACTTGTGATGGTCACTTTATATATAATACATTTGGTTTTATATTGAACATTCCACAAAGAATCAACTAAATAATCTGCAGACAATAACCACAACCAGAACAACAGAAACATGTCTAGACAAGGTAATTTCCAGAAATAAGACGCCGTCAAACTTGTTGACATCCATCTGTTCGCGTACAAGGTGAATACAAAAGGATAAGACCGGATGGCTTGCAGCGTGGTTAGCGCAAGGACTTTCCACATGAGAACTATTTAGTGGCGACTGAGTAGAGTTGTACGGTACATTAAAAAAAATGTCTAGAGTACTGTGATGTCCCATCATTCATTGATTTATGCAGTCATTCACCTATTTATGCCCATTTATTAAGGCATCAGTTCATTCAATCATTCATCCATTTATGTCCATATGGCAATACATCAGTTCATTCATTCATTCGTTCCTTCGTTCGTTCGTTCAGTCTTTCTTTCTTTCGTTTAATTACAAGTTCTTTATTGTTAAGATGTAGAAAGAACTCAGCGTCATAAATAAAGAACTATAATTGATAGGATTTAACAAAAGCGGTACTGAAAATGGTTTGTGACAAAAAGACTTCAGTGCGGAGAAAAAGGATATCCATGGTGATCACTTTAATTGAGATAAAGGTTAGTCAGGTGACAATGGTGATGACAAAATTGTTGTTGTCGTTGTAGTTGCTGCAGATGTTGTTGTTGTTACCAGGACGATAATCATGAGGATGATGACGATCATCATCATGAAGATAACGAAGATGTCGCTAATGATGGTGACCTGGAGATTTTCAGTAGTTACTAGACAATTGTCGCTGGTATGTGTTAGCGGGATCAACATGTGCGGCAACGAATCGTAACATTCTGGACCTTTAAACCGTTACAGAAAATTAGGGAGGGGTAGGAAACTGGTATGTGTGTACTAGTACGACTCAGAAGGAGACTTGCGCGAGATTTGGAAGACAGCGCGAAAACCCAAACACAACAAACAAGGCAGACGAGAACTCCGCCAGTTCTCAAAAATAAAATTCTACGCAGGCAGCATCCTCAACTTATGGACGTTAGTCTTGTCCTATTGATTGTGTTTATAAAAGATAATCTGTCATTATTGCCAACTTTTATCTGCAAAGTTTCATGATGCCGACTAGTCCGGTTGTAAAGACTGTCGTTTACTCTGTAATTTTATCAGATTTCTGACTTGTCCAAAATGGAATATAAACTTCTCCCACTGGTCCTTTCTCATTTGCAGATCCATAGGTGTAGATATTCAGGCTATCAGTTTCAATATTTCTAGTGTTTTCCTCTGCTATAGTCCTTACTTGTAATGGATCAGTGAGTAAAAGTAAAAAAGTAAAGGACCCTTTTCCACGCCTTTAGACGTATAGGGCATATAGGGCTAGACCTATATTTTTTTAGACCAATCGGCACAAGATGGGTGATGTGCTCAGCATCACGCCGGCCGCCTGTACTTCCCGGGACTGCACCCGTTACCCACTCAAGGCTGGGTCGACCTGGGAGCCAAGGTCATTTTTAAGAACTAGTCCGGCTCCGCCAGGGAACGAACCCACGACCTTTCGATCCGCGGCGAGTGTCTAGCCATTCGTCCACGGCGACTCCCTAATGGATGAGTGTTTTGTTAAATGTGTTTGGATAGGCTCATGTCTCTGCGGGGCGTTTTCGATTCCCACGCTCGTTTATGCGGTTTATATCTCTTACTCAGTTCGTGACCGTGATAGTTTCATTACTTTTCATTGCTACTGCTGCCTTTCATTCTACTGGGCTAAGAATGTTTCTTACTGGCACCTCATTGAACTTGTTTGTATTGATATTTAAAGTGCCAGAAGCCGGATAATTATAGTTGTGTGCGGTCTGAAGCCAGTAGTTCTATTTTAATTACTTCCTCTTCAGATTAAACAGTGCTGTACTTAGTGCTGCTTCCAATGATTCTTTTGGTGTGCGTTTACCTGCACCCATAATGGTGGCTAGTACTTGGCACTGTATATTATCTACTTTTTGTGCAATCAGTTGCCGAGTCATAGACAGTGCTTCTATATTCTAGTTTCCCTCTCAGGAAAGCTTTACAGAAATGTAAGAGAGTGGGTTGATGAGTCACCCATTCATTGTCTTAACTGTCTTTTAAAAAACTGCTAATTTTTTACATGTGTCTACTGTTGTATCAATATGTTTTTCCCCAGTTCAGCTGTTCGCCCAGAATCATTCCTAGAATCATTCCTTACTCTTTTAATTGGTCTTTCATAGATTCTAACTGTAACAGTATCACTGTCGTACTAGCGTAGTATTTTATGGTTGAATACCGTGCTTGCTGTTTTGCTGGTATTTATTTAAAAATCTAATTTAATCACCCAGTTGGTAGATTTATTGACTTCCTTTTGTAATCTGTTTCTTTCCATGCCCACTGATTTATCACTTGTAAATATAAAACAATCATCAGCAAACTATGTCAGGTTTACACTTGAAACTTTAATTACCTCGTGAAAATCATTAACCAGGATTAACAAGATTGCTAGCGATAACACCGCACCTCAGGGGAATTCGTTTTCATTTATATAAGCATTTAATCTTTCATTGTTAACAATGACTGAGAATGTCCTGTCTTCTGAAAAGCTCTGAATTCACCTGTATCCTAATCCTTTAAAAAAGCAACTAATGAAACTATCATAATCTGGTCCATAATTGTCAATTTCCTGAATTTCATGGACAAATCTTGTTGAACAAAAAGAGTATTTGCTTTTGTAAAACTCTGGAATGCTTATAGCTGCAGATTGTCCTTTGCCTTTTGCAAACGAATCGGTCGTTTTGTTGCGACCGTAAACTAATCCTGCTCTGGTAGACAACACGCCATTTAGGACAAACTCTTCAAACAAGCTCAAACTGACTGGTGTCTCCTTTAAATACAAACATGTTTATGTCTGAAGATGCAGGAGAAGGTAAAATAATCTGTAGAAACGATGGCTTTGTATCTGGCATACATTGGCTAGCACAAGAAAT